AAGGAGCATCTCTATATATATATATATTATTTTATTCTATTACTGCATCACCCTCAATTCCATTCCACTCCCATTCTGTAGCCTAGCTTCTTAGAATGCAATTTCCTAGAAACCAAGAGCAATGTTTTCATACAGTCATAAAATGTAAAAGAAAGAAAAGGCGAGGATGTAGCTCAATGGCGGAGAGCATGCCTAGCATGCATGAAACCCTGCCTAAATTCGAGTACCACAAAAAGAAAAAGCTTAAGACAGGAGACTTACAGACTGTAGGTGGGACTGCAAAGTGGAAAAAATCCAGTGGTGGAGAATGTGGAGAATATCTAACAAAACTACATATACATTTACACACAGAAGGAGACTGGTTAAGCAAATCATGGCACAACCACGTAACAGAATGCAGCACAACTGGAAAAAAAGAAAAAGGAAGATTTGTGGGAGGCTGAGGCAAGAGGATGGCCGTGACTTCGAGGCCAGCCTGGGCTCCATATGAGTTCACTGCCAGCCTGAACTGCATAGTGAGATGATGCCTCAAAAAAAAGAAGGAAAGAAAAAGAAAAAAGATTTCCATTTTTTGTAACAGATTTCAGAATTACAGAGTATTTCCAGGATATATCTTAAGAGGGAAAAAAGTCAGGGAAAGGTAACCCATAGGTAGAGCACTTGACCGGCAGGCAGCAGGCCCTGGGTTCGATTCCCTGCACCACACATTCATACACCAAAAAATAAAAAGCAAATTAAGAGGATATATAGACCAGGAATATAGCTCAGTGGCAGAAGCGCCTGCCTGGCAAGAGCAAGGTCCTGAGTTCGATTCCTGGTACCAAAAAAAAAAAAAAAAACAACAGAGTTATATAGAGCTAGGTGTGGTGGCACACGCCTGTAATCCCAGCACTTGGGAAGTTGACACAGGAGGACTGCTGCAAGTTCAACGCCAGCCTGGGCTACACCGTGAGTTCAAAACAAGCCTGGATCACACAGTCAGACCCATCTAAAAAATAAGTACATATACAAATTTTATCATCATTTGTGTAAGAAACACCTGTATAAATATGCATATTTTTGCAAAGACAAATACTGAAAATATAGCTACAATCTAGTGAGGTTGATTATCTACAGAAGTAACAATGGGATGGAGGGAGGGGTAGGGCTTCTTGGAGCATACTTTTAATAATGATTTTAGCTTTTGGAACTCTGTTAATGTTTTCCACATTTAAAAATAAAATTAAGGGGCTAGGGAGTAGCTTGGTGGTGGAGCACTTGCCTAGCACATCCCAAGGCTCTGCGTTCAATCACTCCTTCCCTGCAAAATAAGAAGGTTAGCTGGGCATGCTAGCGCTTGCCTGTAATCCTAGCACTCAATAGGATGAGGCAGAGGGATTGCTGCGAGTTTGAGACCAGCCTGGGCTGCAAAGTGAGTTCAAGGACAGCCTGAACTGCATAGTGAGACCCTGTCTCAAAAAGACAAAAAGTAAATAAATAAAAAAAGGACCATAAATACACAAATAAATAAATAATAAAAGGACCAGGGCTCGACGGAGAAGTGGCCAATTCCACTGTTGGGGAAAGAAAAATAAAACATAAATCCGAATGTGTTGTTATGCTAAAAAGAAATACTCAGAAAATAATAAAGGCACATGGAAAGGACACTAGAGCCAGCTTGCCTTTCCTTGACTTACACCAGCCAAATCCACAAATAACTTGGGCATTAAAATGGAGAATGCATCATACAATAAATTATAACCTATAGTATGAATCCACGAGCCAACATTGGCTCTAAGTAAGTCAGGAAATAAAGAAGCAAGAAGGCTAAACTAACAGTAAAATGTGAACTAATCAGTGCACATAGAAGAAATTACAAGAAAAAATAACCATTATACAACTAAAGGAGTGAAAACTGGCCTGGCAAGAATCATCAATAAATGCTAAACCAAGCATTACACAGTTTTTATTTAATCTCAGAGAATCTCTCATGTAGATTACTCATTCGCTACAAAGAGGAAAGGGGAAGGCTGGGGATATAGCTCAGTGGCACAAGCGCCTGCCTGGCAAGCACAAGGTCCTGAGTTCAATTCATGGTACAAAAAAAAAAAAAAAGTGGCAACAAGTGGAAAGGCCTGGCAAACACCACCACAATCAGGGGATCATTAATGACAGAACCCAAGGCCATCATATGCCTCCTCATGTGAAGCTCTGCGAAAAACACTATCATTTTCCTACAAAAAAGGAACATTTCCTGAGTCTCATTATGAAGACTTATCAGAGAAACCTAAATTAAGGAATACTCTACACCATGGCCGCGGGTCTTCTAAAAATGTCCGCACAGTGAAATACAAGGCCCAGGAAAGTAAGTTAATGGCTCAGGATTACAAATAGTTACGGGCAAAGTCAAGATTACAATTTAGGGTTGGGATGTAGCTCCAAGTAAAGCATTTACCTAGCATCTATAAGGCCTTGATTTGATCCTCAACACCATTGAAAAAGAAAAACAAAAGGTTAATTTATACTTCAAGTGGTTTATCTATACAATTCTAGAAAATAGTAGACTATTGAATGCCTGCTTAGCATATGTGAGGATCTGGGTTCAAACCCCAGCACCACCACTCAATAATCTCAACATAATTTTACCAAACCATCTTAAGAGAAAAATGAGTAAGAAGAGAAATAAAGTAGTAAGAAACACACAAAAAATTGTGAATAGCTGGTTCACTTCTGCCATGATAATAAGGCTGAATCACCAGGCATGGCGGTGCACACCTGTAATTCCAGCACTTGGGAGGCTGAGGCAGGAGGATCACCATGAGTTCAAGGTCAGGCTGGGCTACATAGTGAGTTCAGGGCCAGCCTGAATAACATACTGAGACCCTATTTTAAAACAGAAAGAAAGAGACAGCAAACAAGCAAGCTGAATCAAAGGGAAACTGATACAACCCCTTCCTTTATTCTTCTATGGATGAATGTACTCACTGTCCTAAACTGTGTCTTTCTCAAGCTCTCTATTTGGAAACCCTTTCCTCAGACCATTTCAGATCCCTGAACAGGAAGCCTCAGATGGTTTCTCCAAATTTAGCTAACTCCACTTCACTGGCATTCAGCAACACAATTAACTGAGGCCCTGCTAAATGCTGTACCCTCTTCTCTTGCACCAGAGATGTCGTAGTGGACAAACGAATACCCTGCCTCATGCAGCTTACATTCTACTGGGCAAGACAGACAATACACAAGTCAAAGAATATGTAATACAGAGGCACTATAAGAAAAATTTTTAGATGGGCCAAAAAAAGAGACAAAACAGAAGGGTACTCCTCCCCAAAGATCGCATTTAAGTAGCGCTGTGAAATAAGACAGTGAAAAAGTATGGGGCAGGTGGGTGCAGCAGGGGCTGGGGATGCAGATCAGTAGCAGACTACGTGCTTAGCATACATAAGGTCCTGATTCAATCCCCAGCACCAAAACAGCAAAGAAACAGCAAAGAACCTAAAGGAAGGAGGGGACACATTCAGCAAGCTGGAGACAGCTCAACACTCACTTTGCTGTATGTGGAGCGTTGACTGTCTAAGCTCTGACAGTGCAACATGGTTCCCAGGGCTACTTGCTCGACCAGCTGTTGAAATTTTAAATTTCTGGAAACAAAATCCGTCTCACAGTTTACCTGTGGGAATAAATGGATATTTCTGTATAAGCTGTACGCCGACTGTTTCCAAAAGTGCCTTAAGGCTGTAGAGTAAGCCAAGCTGTTGATAGAACAAGCTGCAGACTCCACAAAAATAAACAACCCCCGAATTTTAAAGCTGCAGTTCCTCTCTTGCTTGAGGCCAGAAACTCAGTGAAGGGATTCCTGCTGTGTCAATGAGTTAGCAATAACCTACACATTCAGAGGAGGTTCTGTAATGTTCGGAAGGACTTGCTACAAGTTCACCACTCACCAGAGTGGTGTGTGGTGGCACACGTCTGTAATCCCAGCACTCAGGAGGCTGAGGCAGGAGGATCTTGGCAAGTTCGAGGCCAGCCTGGGCTACAAAGTGAGCTCAAGGCCAGCCTGAACTGCATAGCGAGACTCTGTCTCAAAAAACAAAAAAAAAAAAAAAATCTGTTTCAGGAAACAATCAGTGACCAGACACAAGACTGCACTCGAATTTAGGAGTTAGATTCTAGACTGCCAGGCCACTTCTCATCAACACCTGTGCACGTCTATCCCTTATGAGTTCACAGCTGACAAACGAGGTTTTCTCAAGTCTAGCGCCAACTACCCTTTATTGTTCTCCAACAGGTTTCTTCTTTAAACATGCAAAGGCTCTCGCAGGAGCCTCACATCCGAGGTGTGGCCTTTCCAACAGCTCACCTCCACCAACACAGCGGTGCTGCCCTCCCGCAGCAGCCCAATCAGGCCCTCCTTAGTCTTCCTCCCCTGCAGCTTGGCAGTTCTGCTCCAGCCCTCCTTCTGGGCATGCTGGTGGAGCCAGATTTCTGCCTATAAAGTGAAAAAGAGCAGATGACAAAGTCACTGGATTTAGAACTGAATGAGGCTCTACAATACATTACAACCAGGCGTGGTGGCTCACAATTGTAATCCCAGCACTCCGGAGGCTGAGGCAGGAGGATCGTTGCAAGTTCAAGGCCAGTTTGGGCTACAAAGTGAGCTCAAGGCCAGCCTGAACTGCAGAGTGAGACCCTGTCTCAAAAACAAACAAACAAAAAAGAAATAAAATTAAAATAAGTTAAAGTTTCCTGATCCTTTCTGCTTCTCTGAAGGTCTACAATAGAACTAAGGCACTCTAACATCGAGGGGCAGTCTACCCCTAAATGCTGACCACCAGGCACTGTAGTAACTGGTGCTTTCGGTAAATTTAACCTGCCTATGTCCCTGTGGGAGCAGATCGCAGTATTTTCATTACACACACAAAAATAACACAACTCTGACATATTAATTAATATGTCCACGGTCACGGCGTTAGGTCACAATAGCTTGGGTCCTGAGGGGACCGATTCCATCCAAGGTTCACACAAACCCTTCAACTCCGAGCAGCAGAACACATCCGAACCGTCTTTTATTGAATAGGCTTTGTCGGGGCTGGGGATGTAGCTCAGCGGCACAGGGCCTGCCTGGTAAGCGCAAGGTCGTGAGTTCGATTCCTGGTACCGGAAGAAAAATAAACAAACAAAAAAAACCCCAAAAACAAGGAAAAAAAAAAAGAATAGGGTTTGTTAACCCTGGGACACTGAGATCACTGCTCCCAAGTAAGACAAAGGCAAAGGCTGTCATTTAAGGCAGAATCCGCCCTGGGTCTTTGCGTCATGGGTCACCGGGCAGCGAATGGGACTTTCGCGCGCCCCGAGAGCCCGAGGTCAGCCCCAGGACCCGGCCGCGTCCTCTGCTCTCCTCACCTGGCCGAGATCCCCGCCGCACGCCTCCAGGGCCGTTCTGCAGTGCACGAAGGGGTAGCCTGTCCGCCGCCGCAGCTGCATAAGGAGGTCCTTGCGGGCGGCCGAGGAAGAGGGGCGGGGCGCAGCCCCAAACGCGTGCCCCGGCTGGGCCCGCCGCAGCAGCAGGGCTCCCGCCTGCCGGGACAGAAAGGGCGTGAGCCGAGACAGCACGGCCGGCGAGGGAGCGAGGGAGCGCCCGGGGCAGCGAGGCGAGCCCGGGGCTCAGGGGCGCGGGGCGGCGGCGGAGAGGACACGCCTCGGGGGAGAGCGGCACAAGGGACGGGTGCGCCTCGGGACAGAAAGCTGCAAGGGAGTCAGGTCAGCACCGGAACCCGGGGTCCTCACCTGGTGGCTCCCCGTCCGCGCGACCAGGCACAGGCGCAGGGACCGCAGCAGCGACATATCTGTGACCGCGCCACGCTTCCGCCGGCTGGCGCACAGGGGCGGCGGCGGCCGACGGGATGCCGCAAGCGCCAAAACTCTCCACTACAACGCGTCCGATCACAATAGCGCCACCTGCCTGCCGGAGGGACACACAGTCGCCTTCCCTAAAAGGCTTCATTGAATTATTTTGTATGGAATTACCCCCACGGGTAAAATAAAAAAAAGTCAAAAGATAATGCATACAACACGTCTGGGTAACACTATGTTTCTTTATTTCCAATGCGCTTTTATGTTCGGTATCAGTTTATGACTCACAACAAACTTTCGAGGTAGGTGGGTGGGTTCAGAAAATTGCCCAGGGTCTAGAGATGAAGATAGAGTCGCTTCAACAAACAGAGTAAATATTTGTTGAATGAACAATTCATTCTGCTGCGCACCTGTGAGCCAGGAACTGTGTTAGGCTTCAGGGAGTTAGAGATGAATAAACCTCAGCTGTACCCTTCAAGGTAATCTAATGGTAAGAAAGTAAGGATCAGACAAATGTCCACCCAAGACAAGGTAGGTCCCATAAGAGGAACACATAGAGGTCGGGGAAAGATGGAGTCACATTCAAACAGGCTCAGGAAAAGCTTTTTACAGGAAAGTGGCAAAGAATAAGGAAGATTTTTGATGTGGAGCATAGCCCTTTCCAACCAGGGAACCATCATAAAGAATGGGGAAGTCAGGAACCTTGAGTGGACTTACAAAACAAAAAATAGGCCTTTGTAATTTGGCTCGAGGAGCACGAAGTGAATGAGAGGTAGTTTGGGATCACTGGAGAACAGACTGAGCACCAAGCAGAGGAGCCTGTTCTTGCTTCTACAGGCAATGGAAGCTAATCAGAGCTGACTTTGGAAGACTGCAAGAGTTGGCAAAACAGCTTGATGGTGAGAAATGATAGCAGAGGCCCAGAGGAGGTATGTGCCTAAGCAATAAGTGAAGAAAAACCCCAACCAGAGCACACACAGTGGGAAGAGGCAAGAAGTGAAGGAAAATATATTACAAAGGAAGGACTGATGGAGGTGGGAAAGAAAAACCAAAGAAGAACTTAGTACTCGGGCCAGTGTTCTGCACAGCAGGATGTTCTGAGATCAGGGCTCCAGCTTTGGAAAGGAGGAAAAGTTATGGCTCAAAAGGCAGCTCTGCAGAACTGGGAGGACTTCACCCAATTAGTGCCATGGTCCTATTAGAGTTTTCTGTCTAAAAGCAAGAAACAGGTGGTGTGAGGCCTTTTCCTTTTCACTCCCCAGCAAAAGCTAAGTTTGTTGGATTCAGAAGAGATCATTTTATACTCATTTTTTTCCTCTTTAAAAAATTCCAAGCCAGGCGTGGTGGCAAACACCTGTAATCCCAGCACTCGGGAGGCTGAGGCAGGAGGACTGTTGTGAGTTCGAGACCAGCCTGGGCTACAAAGTGAGCTCAAGGCCATCCTGAACTGCATAGCGAGACCCTGCCTCAAAAAAAAAAAGACCCTATCTCAAAATTAAAATTTTGAAAAGTGTTGGGGATATAGCTCAGTGATAGAGTGCTTGTCTCAGAAGGCAAGGCCATAGGTTCAATCCCCAACACTGAAAAAAAAAAATCCACAGAATTTGGTTTTTTTGGGGGGGGAGTTCCGGGTTTGTTTGTTTTGTTTTAAGTCTATCCTGTATAAACAGACAACAGACAAGAGCAGGACCGGATGTTATCAGAGACAGTCTGCAGCCACTGCTCAAATGTGTTATTTACCTCCCTGACTCCTGAAACTCCTGGGCACCTTCCCATAACAGGAGCTAGGAACCTCCTCTGCGCGGAAACGTGAGCACTGCCAGGACTCTCGGATTCTCAGCAAGCAGGCACCTCCCTGTATTTGCCCCAGACTGTCTGAGGGAATCAGAAAGGAAGGAGGAGAGAAAGAGGGGAGAGGAATTGATCCTTTTTGGTCCTCACGTTTACGGTGCTGAAGGGACGGCTTTGGAGATACGCAGTTCCTTCACTGGGACAAGGAGCTGAGACAGGAGAGGTGACATCAAGCGGGTCTCACTTCCCTGTGCCTGGCTCTATAGATGTTCACATTCTCATCCTCATCCCGCTGGGCCAGCTCCAGTTGGAAGTGCTGGGGCAGGAGGTGCTGAAAGAAGCTTTCTGTCCCATGCTCCTCTCTCATCTTGGAGGCCAGATAGATGGTGCCGTGGGGCCCGCACAGGTGTTGGAGGGTCCCCAGCAGCAGAGGGAAGGTGGGCTCCAGGTACACGATATCCGCCCCCAGCACCAGGTCATAGTCTCCCGGGAAGACATGCTGGTCAATCCCCCACGACAAAGCGCGGACCTGGGCCCGGCCTGGAGCTGGCAGATTAGCCTGGACGTTGCCCTGGATCTGCTCTAGGGCCAGAGGCAGGTCAGTGATGGTAACATCCCCCCCTGAGAGAGAGCAAGGGGGAGAAATGCAAGTCAGAAGGCCCAACCAAGGGCTCTTGGCTCCAGCCTGGAAGGTCCAGTGACCTCAAGGCCGAAAGGCCGATGTTTTGACAGCCCGAAGTCCACGGTGACTTCTAGTGCCCCTAACTCCGTGTTACCCCACTGGCATTCTCCTTACTCTACAATCTACACCATCAACATTCTCTCTGAGCTAATTTTCAACCTGTCTGCCCCACACGCAACTATCAGATGTCAGCAGAAGCCCGGGCAGGACTCTGCGGAGAGGCTACACACCTACCCCCCTGACACAAACCTGTCTGCAGGGGTCTGGAAAGCCTCCCAGAAGACGTGACCTCAGCTGAGCCCTAAAGGACAAGCAGGAGCTACTCAGGTGCATTTCCCAAGCAGAGAAATAGTGAATACAAAGGCCAGGCAGGGAAGCAGCATGGCATATCCAAGGAACGCTGTATCTTTTTTTTTTTTTTCCTTTTGGTACTGGGGATTGAACCCAGTACTGGGGATTGAATTTACTGAGACACCTCCTCCAGCCATTTTTAAGAAATTTTTTAAAATCTTGAGGCAGGCTCTTGCTAAACTGCTAAATTGCCAAGGCTGGGCTCAAATTTGCAATCCTCCTTCCTCAGCCTCTCAAGGCTGCTGAGATTACAAGCAGGCACTGCCGCACCCAGCCAGAAAGCTGCATCTCAGGAGATGTGGAAAGGAGAAAAATGCCAAGACATAAGACTGGAGGGTTACGCCATGCTAATCATAGAGGAAGAAGTCCAAGAGATTCAAGTTCGATAATGAAGGTAAGGGGTCTTCAGAGTTAAAGCAGGGAAGCCAGGCTCAGTGGCTATAATCCCAGCGTTCAGGAAGCTGAGGCAGAAAGATCGCCGTGAGTTGGAAGCCAGCCTGGGCTACATAGTGAGTTCTAGGCCAGCCGGAACTACAAAGTGAAACCCTGTCTCAAAAAAACATAAACAAAAGAAGAGTTAAAGCAGGAGTGAAGATTAGCATTTCAGAAAGTTTTATCCGTGCAGTAAATATATGTATTGAGTACCTACTAAGAGCTAGGTAGGTATACAGTGGGGAGCAGAACAAAATCTCGCCTTTCCTTGAGTTTCATTCCAGAAGTAGATACACACATGGTCTGCAAAAAATCTAATCACACTCACGGTAAATATTATAGAAAGAGAGGCAGGAAATACAAGCCTTCATTCACTCATCTGTACCATGTCCCTATATTTGCCAGGTACTGAGACTACAGCAGATGGCAGGAATCCCCCCTGGAGCTTACAGCCTAGTGGCAAGAAATGGAAGGCAACAATGAAATACAAAATAAAAAAAGTTTAAGGGGCTGAGGATTTAGCTCAGCCGCAAAGCGCCTGCCTGGGTACCGGAGAAAAACAAAAAACAAAATTAAAAAATAGGGGTCGGAGATATAGCTCAGCAGCACAAGTGCCTGCCTGGCAAGCGCAAGGTCCTGAGTTCAATTCCCAGTACCTCAAACAAAACAAAAACAAAATAAAATACACTGCATGTCAAATGACAGTAAGTGCTACAGTGAAACACCAGGCAGGGAGAGGGGAAAAGAACTGCCTGAGGGTCAGAGCAGGGAATGGAATTTTAAATAGGATGGTTGGGGTAACCTCACTAAGCAGGTTACGTTTGGGCAAAGCTCTGCAGGCAGCAGTGGCGCGTGGATCTCTCAGGCTAAAGTCTACCAAACCACAGGCCAGCAAGCACCGAGACCTGAGGCAAGACTGCACCTGACAGGTGAGAGGGGTCGTGGGGGAGGCAGCAGCTGGAGCACAACGAGTGAAGAGGGTAATAGCAGAGGTTGGATCCCAATCAAGGAGAAATTTGGCTTTTAGTCTGGGTGATATGAAAATCAATGGATCCTGGGCGTGGCAGCGTGCTATAATCCCAGCACTCAGGAGGCTGAGGCAGGATCATTGTGAGTTAGAGACCAGCCTGGGCTACAAAGTGAGCTCAAGGCCAGCCTGAACTGCATAGCAAAATCCTGTCTCAAAAAGAAAAAAAAAAAGTTTTAATCCAGCCTGAGCAACTAAGTGACTTAGTGAGACCGTTTTAAAAAACAAAACCAAAAAAATACAAAAAGGGCTGGAAATATAGTTCAATGTGAAACCCTGTATTCAATCCCCAGGACCACACCCCCCCACACACAAGCATGTACATACGCACATACATGTACACACGCCAAAAAGGAAAGAGAACAGGTCATTCTGACTGTTGGGTGAAATAGACAGAGGTCTAGGAGGCAACAGGGAATCAAAGCAGGTCGACCAGTCGGACTACCTGCTGCATTCTAAGCAAGCAATGGTGCTGACTTAGGCTAGAGAGCTGCCAATGGAAATACATGAGAAAATTCACGCGATTCTTGGGAAATAAAATCAAGTGATTCTTGGGACTGGGGATGACCTTGTAGTAGAGCACTTACCTAGCACACAGAGGCTCTGGGTGCAATCTCCACTACCACAAAAAAAAAAGGAAGGAAGGAAAGAAGAGAAGGGCAGGGAGGAAGAAAGGGAGGGAGGGAGGGAAGGTGGGAGGAAGAAAAAGAGAAAGAGAAAGGCAGAAAGAAAGAAAGAAAGAAAGAAAGAAAGAAAGAAAGAAAGAAAGAAAGAAAGAAAGAAAAAAGAAAGAAAGAAAGAAAGAAAGAAAGAAAGAAAGAAAGAAAGAAAGAAAGAAAGTTAGTTGAATAATGCATATGGGGTGAAAATGGGCATGGCGAAGTCACAGGTGATGTCAACCTGAGCGTGGCGGTGGCACAGGCCTGTAATCTCAGCACCGGGGAGTCTGAGGCAGGAGGATCGCTGAGTTCCAGGCCAAGTGAGACCCTCAGCTGCCTGAGTGCTGGGGTAACAGGAGTGCACCATCACCTACCACACGCCCAGCAACACCCTGATATTTGAATTGGCAGCTAAATAGGGGATAAAGGAAGAGAAGGCAATCTAGGAGCAAGTGAAAGTAGGTGTTCCTATCCCCAGAGATGCCTTTGTCTCTTTTTGTATTTACTTGTAGATTTATTTTTATTGTTCTTGCAGTACTGGGGATTGAACCCAGGGCCTTCACACTGAACTACATCCCGAGCCCTTTTTTTTTTTTTTTTTGAGACAGGGTCTCCCTAAGTCACCAAGTTGCCCAGGAACTTGCAATCCTCCTGCCTCAGCCTCTCAGAGTGCTGGGATTACAAGCATGTATGCCACCACATCTGGCTTCTGTCCCCTTGTAATACGACTACCTGAACGGCATCCACCCACCCTTCACGGAGAGGTGCTGACACACCCTCTGTTCTTTCTGAGTCTTCTTTGTTCACCCTGTTCACTTCTCCACCTCACAGAGCTCCCCCTAGATGGAGCCACAGGGAGACGCAGTAGACACAGCCAGAGCATGTCCACCAGCTCACCACAGCTCTTCCAGGGTGGCATCTCCCCCATCTCCCCACTAGACCCCAAGCTGCTCCTAAGGGAGAGCAAATCTTCATTCACTGCTGAATCCCCAACACCCAGCATGATTCTTGGTACACAGAGGACTCGGCACACATATTAGTTGAATGAATAGAAGAACGAGCGTCTGCCTTTGGGAAGACTTTCCTTAATGCGACCCAGTAATGCCCCTATGAACAAGTACATGCTAATCTAAGTGACTTCATACGTGTTTTTAAGTGAGTGTTCTCTGTACGGGGTTTTGTCTGCCCTCTGGATTACTAACTTAGGGAAACCTGTTTAGTTTCTGGTTCTTGATAAAACTGATGAAATTTTGTCCTTATCCTTTCCTTTCTAAGGTCTGAGGTGCTTAATGCTTAGTCCTTGCTTCCCAAAAACTCACTCTCGCCCTCCAAAATTCCTGTCTATTTATCTCAGCAATAACAATCTACCGACTCTAACATATATTCACAGGCAAGTTAGGAAGCATTCATGAGGTTTAACATCAGCAGGTTGCTGTCCTACGGGATTCCCCCATATGTGCATTTTGACAGAACACCCGAGGGGCGTTTAAATGACAGCATTCTCCGTGAAGTCACGGAGAGCAAAGAGGTAGACACAAGGCCCGGCTTTTATTTGCCCCCCCCCCCAAATCAACTGTCCTGGGGACTTTAACAGCCAGTTAGGTCCGGGTCACTCAGGGAAATGGGGCGGGGGGGGCGGTGATAAAAGGAAGGGACTGGGCTGGGTCTAAAGTACACCCCTTTCCTAGGACTGCACACCCTCACCCCGCTTCCCGCCGCGACGCCAGCTCACGCACCCTGCAGCGCTGCCAAGATTCCCACGATGCCCGTCCCCGCGCCCAACTCGATCACTTTCTTGCCGCGAAAATCCACATTTTGGCTCTCGAAATAGTTGCACAGGCTCAGAGCCTACGGGAGGAAAAAAAAAAAAGGCAGAAAAGACCGTCGTGGAGATGGCTCCATATGGCAGAGCCTGGACCGCCGAGCCCCGCACCGGGAGCAGCCCCGTCCTCACCGCGTCCCACACGCGCGCCGCCACCCCGAGGCGGGACCCGAAGTTCTGCGTGATGCTCAGTACGTGGCCACAGAAGTAGAACCGGCTCCTCTCCGAGTAAACGTCGGCGAAGAGCCCGACCTCCCGAGGGAACACCGACTCGGGGTCCGACTCCGGATCCCGGCGGGAGCGGGCCATCCGACCGAGCCGGAGCCCGGGCACCGCGGCGGGCGCGCGGGTCCCGAGCCTGCGGCGGGGCGAGTTTGGGGGCCGCAGGGCGTCCTGGCTCCGCAGCCGCACCGAGCCCCGCCCCCCCGAGTTTGGCCTCCTCCCTCCAGCTGGACTTCCTGTAGGTGGAAGGAGGAGCCGCACCCCTCGCCCGGTGCTTAGGGCACGCGGGACGGGACCCACGTCGGGCCGCACTGGTCAGACCCCGCAGACCTGGCCGACGCTGGGGCGGAGAAACCATGCTTCACTGCACCGTGGGAGAGAGGGCGCCCAGGACTCTCTCACTTGTGGGGTGCACAGGTGCCTGCTGCCAGCGTGCTAACCAGGCCAGGCAGAAGCCTGCTAAGGGAGGCGGCTGGGCACCTCGGGCCCGCCGGGCCGGCCAAGTTAGAGACCAGAGGTGCAGAGCTGCCTCCGCCTCCCGCCCGCGCGGGCCTCGCAGCCCAGCCCAGTCGAATTGGCGCGTGGGTCTTTAAGGGGCGGGGCCGGCGCTTAGCGCGCGGCTGCGTCATCAGCTTGCGCCTGGGGCCTCGGTCTCCACGTGGATGCCGTGGAACCCGGGCCGCGCGCCATGGCGGGAGCCGAGACTGGGAATGCAGCGGGAACCGAGGCTCCGCAGCCCCAAAAGCGTTACTACCGGCAACGCGCTCACTCCAACCCCATGGCGGACCATACGCTGCGCTAGTGAGCGAGCGGGACGCGGGGCGGGCGGGGTCCCTCCCCCGGCCCGGAGAGCGCGGGCGCCGGGACGATGGGGCGGTCCGGGCGGGACCGCGGAGGATCGGCCGCCGACGTCGGCTGGGGGTGGGTCCGCGAGGTCTGGCGGAGGGCGGAGTTGGCCGGTCCGGAGGGGGTGTGGCATCCTGGCCTTAGTGTGTAGCAGCGCCAAGTCTAGGAAGGGAAAGGAATTGCTGCTGAAACTAGAGTGAAGAGGGTCGTCGTTGCCATCTTTCGGTTTTGTTTGTTGGGTTTAATAAAAAGGCAAACATGCACAATCCTCCCCACTCCTTACATGGTGCTCTCCCTGCAGAGCACACAAATGACGTTGGATCCCAGTGCCTGAGGTCCACATATGCCCCATGAAGGACAGCTGCCCGGCCAGGGTTCTATCCACCCGTAAAGCGGAGATGGGCAGCTCAGCAATCATGAGCCTCGCGACGGGCCTGTGGTTCACCCCGGGTGTTAGGGGGTCTCCACGGCACCTGCTGGGGCCGCAGGGCCCGCTGTTACAGGTTTTTGAGAAACCTTCCTCCCATCTACCTCTCACCCGCACCTGCCCACGTACACGCAGTACCATCTTGCAATGGCGCGACCAGCCTGCTCACTCTTTTTACTCTTTTCAATAGTCCCGTGAAGCCAGAGGAGATGGACTGGTCTGAGCTATACCCGGAGTTCTTCGCTCCACTCTCTCAAAATCAAAGCCATGATGACCCGGAGGACACGGAAGAAAAACGAGTTCAGCCCCAAGTGGAGTTTGCAGACATAGGCTGTGGCTATGGTGGCCTTCTAGGTAACGGTCTGGCCCTTTCTCTGGAGCGAGGAGAGACCTAGGTTCTGCCCCATCAGCAGGTTTTTGGTAGCTGCTACAGTTGACCTTTCCCCTTTGGACAGACGCTGGTGACATCAAAGTGAAGAGCCTCCATCGTTTCTCTACCCTGGGTCTGTGGCCTTTGCCCTGGAGAAGGGAGGGGGCTGCCTCAAATGGCTGTTAAACCCTGGGTTGTCCTGTCTGGCTGCAGTCCCAGCGTGAGCCGTTTCACCTGCCAAGTGCTGGGTCAGTGAGCCAGTCAGCACAAGAGTCAGAGATTAGCTACTGTGGCCAGTGATCCTGAACTGTCTCTCTCAGGGATTCCACCAGCTCCCCTCCCTCACAAGAGCACGTTTTCTGCTCTCCTCTTATGTATTTCAGGTGCCCCTTGTAAGTACTGTCCCAGGCTTGTATGGCAGTTCACAGGGTCTAGCTGAGTTGCCCAGGCTGGGCTTGAACCTGCAATCCTCCTGCCTCAGTCTCCCAGAGTACTGGGATTACAAGCATGCATCCCCACTGCCAGCTTACCTTCTTAGATCTATGATCTTGAGCATTTCTAGCTCAGTGTTCTCCCCTTCACAGTCTGCTACACAAGATTATAAGGTTTAAATAAGACCATGTACAAAATCACTGTGAAAACTCTAAAGCAAACTGTCAGGTATAGTGGCACACGCCTGTAATTCTAGCACTTGGGAGGCTGAGGCAAGAGGATTGGGAATTCAGGGTCAACCTGAGTACCGACCTAGCTAGTTCAAGGGCAGCTTGGACTATGTAGAGAGACTCTATCTCAAAAAAAAATGTAACAGGGCTGGGAATAAGGCTCAGCTGCACAAGCGCCTGCCTGGCAAGTGCAACATCCTGAGTTCGATTCCTGGTACCAAAAAAAAAAAGGGACAAATTTTTTTAAAAAAGGAAAAAATAAAAATAGAGAAACAAAAAAAATGCTAGGTGTGGTGGCCCACGCCTGTAATCCCAGCACTCGGGAGGCTGAGGCAGGAGTATCGTTGTGAGTTTGAGGCCAGCCTGGGGTACAGAGTGAGTTCGAGGCCAGTCTGAACTGCGTAGTGAGACCCTGTCTCAAAATGACAATAAATAAATAAATAAAAATACAAAAAGGAAAGAAAACTGAAGCACATATAAATGAGAAAGTGCTCTCCTGCATTTTCTTCGTAGAAAACGATACATAGTAAGTATCTCTGTCCTTACTCCCGACTCTGGCAGTTGGGGGCTGTGGCCTCCTTTCCTGCGCTGACCCCTTTGCACGCCCAGGAAGTATGAGGTTGCTGACCCCCTGCTATTTCTGTGTGCAGTGGAGCTGTCGCCACTGTTCCCAGCCACATTGATTCTGGGCCTGGAGATCCGGGTGAAGGTCTCAGACTACGTACAAGACCGGATTCGAGCTCTGCGTGCAGCCCCTGGAGGCGGCTTCCAGAACATCGCCTGTCTCCGTAGTAACGCCATGAAGCACCTGCCTAACTTCTTCCGCAAGGGCCAGGTGGGGAAGGGCCTGGCTGAGCAGGCGGGCAGGTGGGCAGGCGGGCAGGCCGGGCACTCACAACCCTGTCGGTGCTGTCTCGCAGCTGACGAAGATGTTCTTCCTCTTTCCTGACCCCCACTTCAAACGGACGAAGCACAAATGGCGCATCATCAGTCCTACACTGCTAGCGGAATATGCCTACGTGCTGAGGGTTGGGGTGAGCCGGGAGTGGGAGGAGGATGGGGCGAGTGGCCTGTGGAGGGACCCTTCGCTGAGAATTAATTGGGGATCCACTTAGGCTGCTCAGCTGCACGTAGCCCCGTCAAGGGTAATTTCGCCTGTGCAGGGGCTGGTATATACCATAACCGATGTGCTGGAGCTGCACCAGTGGATGTGCACCCACTTGGAAGGTCACCCCCTGTTTGAGCGTGTGCCTTTGGAAGAGCTGGTAAGCGGGCCGTCTTTGCAAAGATGCAGACCCTTTTCGGAGTAACTCTGTATTCTTAGAACCTAGGTCAGGGCCAGGAGGAGCGGGTGGGAGTCTGGAGGCCCAGGACAGTGTGAAAGTTGGGCACGCTTCCTTCTCCCAGAGCGAAGACCCCATTGTGGGACATCTGGGCACTTCAACCGAGGAGGGGAAGAAAGTTCTACGCAATGGAGGACAGAGTTTCCCAGCCATCTTCCGGAGAATACAGGATCCCACCCTCCCGGCAGTGACCCCGAATCCCACCCCGCCTGGTCACTGACTGTACCCTCTCTCAGCTGGATCCCATCTTCCATGAACTGGAAAGAAAGTCAGACCCCCTGACCCTCCCAGCTGAGACTGGGGGAGCTGGGAGGCTTCGGTCTCTCCGAGAGCTTAGGAGAACCTGCGTTCACGCTCCCAGCGCCGCGCAGCTCCTTGTCCCTCCCTGCCAGCACAAAGAAAAGAAGCTGACTTTAAAGGACCTTGGACTGGAGGGTTTTTTGGGAGGGTGTGGGGTCTTGCTGTCCCTTAGCACGCCCTTCTCAGCTGGAGTGAGTGAGGAATGCAGTGCCCCGCTGTCTAAACTGTCTGCTTGGCTCAAATTACCTGTCCAGTTGTGTTTACTTTGCAGTCCTGGGGATAACACATGAGTGTGCACACGTGCTCACGCTGGCTGCTGTTTCTTAGGAAAGGCCAGGGTGTGTATCACATGCCTCCTCTTGTTCTCCTTGCCTAAGACTTTTTTTGTTTTTGTTTTTGTTTTTTTGTCTATTTTTGAGACGGTCTCGCTGTGGAGTTCAAGCTGGCCTTGAGCTCACTTTGTAGCCCAGGCTGGTCTCAAAGTCCCAATGATTGTCCTGCCTCAGCCTCCTGAGTGTTGGGATTACAAGCGTGTGCCACCATGCCCGGCTCCCTGCCTAAAATTTCACCTGGCAATCAGCTTTTTTGTTTTTTTAACAGAGTCTTGCTCAGTTGCCCAGGGTGGGCTCAAACTTGTGATCCTCGTGCCTCAGCCTCTCAGGGTGCTGAAATTACAGGTGTGCACCTTCAGCCTGGCTCTGTGCTCCCTTTGTGGTTACTGTCTTTGGAGAGCCCCTGGGAGGGTGAAGCTGTGGAGACCCGCTCCTCCATGTTGACCTTGGATTCCAGAACTTCGGAGCTATCTGGCAGAAGGTCTGCTATGAGGAGGGAGAAAGGGAGGGGCTAGGACCAGGGCGCTAGTTTTCTTTATTTTTGGTTTTTTGGTTTTTCTCCGGTACCAGGAACCGAACTCACGACCTTGCACTCGCCAGGCAGGCGCTTTTGCCGCTGAGCTAAATCCCCAGCCCCTAAACTGGAGTTTTCTGAACAAAGTGGAAAGAGGCTGCTGCACAGAAGGCTGTCCCAAGGAGACAGAGTCAGCTGGAGATTCCAAGCCTGCACTTAGCCCTTGCGCTGCTATCCAATGGCCTAGAGTTAATATCCAAACTTGTGTGCTTGCAAAAAAGGTCCTTCATTTCTGTTCCTCGGGCCTCAAATTCCCTTGACTGGAAGGAGAGGGCTTGTTCACCCAAGAAACCCCTCTCCCCAAGGAACAAATGCCCGGAAGCATTTTGGCCCACGTGTCCGGTGTGTCAGGCACAGGGAAAGGAGATGTGACTAGTGCGAGGAAGTTCTCACGTGTGCAGAGCAGGATGTGGGCACACCTGTGCCTCATGCTTCATGGAGGAGCTGGAGGATGGAGAACGTGGGAGGATGGGCCTGACGGAGCTTGGCTCCCTGGGGAGGTGGCGGCACTAGCGGAGACCACCTCGTGTAATCCCCACTAAATCGCCTTTCCCAGGAAGAGACCTTGAGGCCACAAACCTAGGGCCCTAGCTCCAGAGAAGTTGATAGACACCCCTCCCCTGAGGCTCATTGCAACATGAGATCCCAAGGAGCCAAGAAGTCAGTGTTAACCCCGCCTACCGTGCCTAGGTGCTAATCTCCAATACGGACCATTTGGGGCGAGGGATTGGCTGAGGAGCTTCGAGAGGGGGGCATGGTCACCGCCTCACCCAAGGGTTAAATAGGGGTTTGGGCAAGCCGGCATGATGCTCCGGAGAAGCAGTCTCTCACGCTGTCTCCCTGAGCTGGACCATGACCCAGTCCTTCAAACTCGGCTCCAGAGTGTTCCATCGCGTCCGCTGTGCGCCCGAGCTGGGCGCCTCACTAAACTCCCGCGGCTCCGACTCAACACCTCGGAGCCTGGCGGACATCCCAGGCCCCTCCGTGCCTAGATTCCTGGCTGAACTTTTCTGCAAAGGGGGTCTGTCGAGGCTACACGAGCTACAGGTAGAAGCGGGTGCCGTCGTGCCTCCTGGGACCCAGAGCTGTGAGGGAGCTGCTTTGCTAGGGTGGGAAGGTAGATGGTGTGGAACGCGGGGCGAGGGGAGCTGGCAGTGATACTCGTAAGTTAGGGGACAGGCGTGCTGGGGCGCGGAGGTGGCTTCATAGCGGTAGTCTGCCCCAGCATCCAGCGTGGGTGTCCCTTGAGCGCCTTCTCGCTGGGCAGCGGTCTGCAGACCCTACACGAAGGTCCGGGATGAGCGCAGGCAAGACAAAGCGCGCAGTGTTCCCCGCTTGTTTGACTTAAAGCTGCGCTCCTTTGACTCCCTGGGAACTCAGTCTGAGAGAGCCGGTCCCGGTGGGGAACCCTCAGGGTTTCTCCACCTCAGCTCAACCCAGATGAGCAGAGAGGTCCTGGACATCCGCTTTATGCAAAGTTCCTCCGTTTGTCCATCACACGCAAACTTCCATGGGACGGGAGAGTTCACAGCATCCGAAAGTTTACATTAGTCGGGCACTCGAGAGGCTCCGCCCGCGCCCTTGACGTTGGCACCGCCGAGAGCCCCCAGCCCAGCCCGGTGTCCCAGCGTCCGCCGCGCCGGTGCTCCCCAGGTGCAGGGCGCGGCGCGCTTCGGCCCGGTGTGGTCGGCCAGCTTCGGGACGGTGCGCACGGTGTACGTGGCCGCTCCTGCGCTCATCGAGCGGCTGCTGCGGCAGGAGGGACCCCGGCCGGAACGCTGCAGCTTCTCGTCCTGGGCGGAGCACCGTCGCCGCCACCGGCGGGCCTGCGGCCTGCTCACCGCGTGAGTCCTCGCTGCCCCGCGCCCCGCGCCCCCGCCCAGTGCCCTCCCGGGCGGGTCGCCACGGCGCCGTCTGTGGCGCGGGGCTTAGGGGAGGGGCCTCGGTTTCCCCACTGTCCTGCATCTCGGGATTCTCCGTTCGGTCGCGTCCAAACTCAGGTGAAGCCCGGCGCTCGCCCCGCCTTGTCCAACAGGTGCGATGGACGAGGGTATCAGGATCTAGAGTGATTGTGACTCAAGTTACCCGGGCGCCGGGGCGGGAAGTGGGTAAAGGGGAAGAGAAAGGGAAGACGGGCGCAGGCAAGGGCAGGTTTCGGTATCCAGGGGGTCGGACGCAATCCTCCCCCTGCGCGCCGCTGCCGCCCAGTGGAGCCCCCTGACGCGCCCCGTCCCCACCGCGCAGGGAAGGCGGAGAATGGCAGCGGCTCCGCAGCCGCCTGGCCCCGCTGCTCCTCCGGCCTCAAGCGGCCGCTGGCTACGCCGGGCCCCTGGACGACGTGGTCCGCGACCTTGTGCGGCGACTAAGGCGCCAGCGGGGGCGCAGCCCCGGGCCGCCCGCCCTGGTTCGGGACGTGGCGGGAGAGTTTTACAAGTTTGGGCTTGAGGGTGAGTCCTAAAGCGGAGGGAGGGGCAGAGGTGGGCGACACGGGCCGGGTGCCCCTGTGCCTTGACTGCGCCCCCTTCCGGCCAGGCATAGCCGCGGTGCTGCTGGGTTCGCGTCTGGGCTGCCTGCAGGCCGAGGTGCCCCCGGATACAGAGACCTTCATCCGTGCGGTGGGATCGGTGTTCGTGTCCACGCTGCTGACCATGGCAATGCCCAGCTGGCTGCACCGCTTTGTGCCCGGACCCTGGAATCGCCTCTGCCGAGACTGGGACCAGATGTTTGCATTTGGTAAAGCTCAGAAGCAAGGCGGGCATGGGGCATGAGAAGCTACCCAGGGCTAGTGCGGTCAGCACGCCTTCTTTCCACGCAGCCCAGCAGCACGTGGAGCGGGCAGAGGCCGAGATAGCCAGGAGGAACCAGGGCAAGCCCGGGGAAGACATGCCGTCTGGGGCGCATCTGACCTACTTTCTTTTCCGGGAGAAGTGGCCTGCCCGGTCCATCCTGGGGAATGTGACAGAGCTGCTGCTGGCTGGAGTGGACACGGTGAGGTGCCCTGGTGCTCGGAGCCCCGCCTCAGAGTTTGGCTTCTCTTGTTTCTGGGGCCACTTTCCTGCTTCAGAAGATTCCCTGTGTAGACCAGCTTGGGTTAGCACCTCCTTGGCCCCAGGCTGCCGCATATTCTGCCCCCTCTGCTGGGTCCCCTCCTAACACCTCGGACGCTTGCACCTGTCCGCTCAGGTGTCCAACACACTCTCCTGGGCCCTGTACGAGCTCTCCCGGCATCCTGAAGTGCAGGTGGCTCTCCGCTCTGAGATCACCGCGACCCTGGGCCCGGGCTCCGGTGCCCACCCGCAAGCCGCCGCGCTGTCCCAGCTGCCCCTGCTGAGGGCCGTGATCAAGGAAGTGCTAAGGTGAGGCGGGGAGAGGGGCGGAGTTAGAGAAAACGCGGGGGCATGGAAGGTGGGCGAGGAGAGAAAGATGGCCGAACGTGGGTGTGGAAGTTAGAGGCGATGAGGGGGGCTGTAGCCCCCAGCCTCACCTTTGTGTCTCTTTTACTTAACCTAGATTGTACCCTGTGGTACCTGGAAATTCCCGTGTTCCAGACAAAGACATTCAGATGGGTGATTATATTATCCCCAAAAATGTGAGCAAAACCAACGAGCCCCTTTTCCTGCGCCATTCCTCACTGTCACAGGCCCCAGCTCTGCGCTCAAACACTTCCCCCAAGCCCTTCAAACACTACTGACCCGAGCGCCTGTCCCTGGGTACAGTGGGCCAGCAGAGAAATTCTTCCACAAGTAGCCCCCAGAAAACCTCCCTATCTGCAAGCAGGGCCTGCCTTGGTCCCACCCCATGGATCCTCTTCTTCGGGTCCCCCCACCCAGGCTTCCTGGGCCTAAACTGACAGGCGTGTGTTCCTCCCCACCAGACACTGGTCTCTCTGTGTCACTACGCCACTTCGAGGGACCCTGCCCACTTCCCAGAGCCAAATTCTTTCCGCCCAGCTCGCTGGCTGGGGCAGAGCCCAGCCCCCCACCCATTTGCATCTCTTCCCTTTGGCTTTGGCAAGCGCAGCTGCATAGGAAGACGCTTGGCAGAGCTTGAGCTGCAAATGGCTCTGGCCCAGGTGAGTGATCTAGGCTTTATACCAATGTCCAGACCGGAGAGACCCAAACCCTCCCAAGCTGTGAGCTCCTGTGCTCTCACAAGCACGGGAAGACGTATAAGACCTAGCAGACCTAATCTTCAGAAATATAATAATCCCATTATAGGCCTTGTAAGCAAGGCTATTTGGACCATGTTTCACTTTTATAATCTGTTCCTCTCATTGACTAATAAGTCCCTTACCAGCCATAGGTGTCACCCAACATTGACCGTTCTAACACTAAGAATGGCCTTCAGGAATAAATCGCACCATTCTGGATCCCCCTCTCCTACTAATAGCCTTCTCTCTCCCCTCCAGATCCTGATCCATTTTGAGGTGCTGCCCGAGCCGGGTGCTCCCCCAGTCAGACCTATGACCCGGACTGTCCTGGTGCCTGAAAGAAGCATCAATCTACAGTTTGTGGACAGATAGCCATTAGAAGGAAGCTGTCGTCATCACCTGCTGTCATCACAGCGCTTTATTAAGCACAAGGCCAAGAGATTCACCTTCCCCTTGAGGCCTTCTGACCAGAGTGGATAGAGCAGCCACGGCAGATTGAAGTATTAATTTGACCTGACTCAGTAGGGCCAGAAAAGCACACTCACTTCTCCCGGCCATACATGCACCCTTCAAAGGCCAACTCAGACGTTAACTTTTAATGCTGGATGGACTGAAGGACTCTTCCATCTCTCCTCTGGTGCCTCCACTGCATTCGTTGATGCTGCTGGCTAAGCATTTATTGTGCATAAGCCAAGTAGCTGCATCCGATCTGTACCTGGCTGGTTCTCCCTCAAGGCATGTGAGCTCTTTGAAGGAAAGGATGAAGTACTATTTGGTAGTATATCCCCAGTCAGGGGCTGTCTTGCCTAGGTGATACCATACCCATTTTCACATTGAATCTGGACCACGTGGCAGAAGGGATAGCAGCAGACCAGACTGCCTACCCTCTTCTTTCTTCATCTTCCCCCTAGGGATCTGGCCTAGCCTGGTTTATGATGTTTTTAAAAAATCTCCGTGGTGACTGGGGATGTAGCTCAGTGGTAGAGCACTTGTCTAAATCTCCTTGGTTCTCTGACCACCATTAAGTGGGCTTGTCGTACCACTTAGCTGCCAGGCAGGTGCATCTTTGGGCCTGTTCTTGCCCAGGACCCTGCTTTTGGTATTTTTTCTTTTTAATATTCATAAGTTTTGTTGATTTTTTTTTTTTTTTTTGGTCTTCTTTCCGGTACCGGGAATTGGACTCATGACATCATGCTTGCCAAGCAGGCGCTATCCTGCTGAGCTAAACGCCAGCCCCTTAATATTCATAAGTTTTGAAACAGAAATAAATGTTTCATCCTTGACTTTTGGCTTACTTTTCTCACTCTCCCTGAAAGATCTCAATGCCCCTCTCCCACCTTGCTTTCTTAGCTCCTGGGAGTGATTCCCATAACAATGGGAGGTCTGGGTGCCTGCAAGCACCCTTTACGGCCCACACTCAGACATGTTTCTGTCTGTAGTGGACAGAGCCAAGTCTAGTTTGCTTCCTATAAGAGATTAAGGGGGTGGTGGTGAAAAGTAACCGTAGGAGCTAAGTTGTAAAGTGGGTTGGGGAGCTAGGTATTCGCAGAAATGGGCAGAGGCAACTGACTCTTTGGTAATAGAAGTCCTAGAGGTGAAAGACACCCTATATTGGCCACTCTGCCTTCTCTGGAAAAGCTACTCCAAGATGATTTCCTTCAGGGAAAGACCAAAAACAAAAATAAAAAACAAAAACAAAACAAGCAAAAAACAAGCAGGGAAGTGGAGTCAGACAGGATAAAAGCTGGGTGTGAGGGTAGCCAGAAGCCCTGGGGCACCAAGGCAGGAGAAGCAGGGTGGGCCAAAGAAGCCTGTTTCCCTGACTCAGCACTCTGCGCTCTCCACCCCCCAGAGGCTAGGCACAGTACTCCTCTTATGCTGTATGCGGATTAACTCATCCTCCATCCAAATAAATCTCTCAGCACTCTGCGAACCTCAATCCATATCCCGGATTACCCTCCCTGTGTCTGGACTTGCCTCTCCTCCTGTCCTCCCACCCTTCACATTAGCTGGCTAACGATGGAGATTTCACTTTACACCTCTTGCTCCTCCACACCATTTCTACCCCTTTCTTGGACGTATCTCCTTGACCACAGAAATTCTACAGTCACCAAGTCTTCTGTGGGGGATCAAACCATGCAAGATCTAGAGGGGCAGGGCATGCTGAAGTCTCACCCAGGGCTCCAGGGTGTGCATTTACTGTACCTCTTTTCAATTCTTCTACGTTTCAGTCTCTACCTCTACTCTCTTATCATCCAACTCAACTTGGATCTAAAGAACTTGATTTTTAGCAGATTTGAGCTTTAAGGGAGACTAAAGTTCAGCCTGCGATGGGATCCTGTCCCTTGGAACCAGTCCTAAGAGCTCTGCCCACCCACATGTCCCGCTGGGAAGGAAGAAGTGCCCCGCTGGAGAGTAGCAGTGCCCATGACCCCTTTCCTGCGAAGACTCAAGTCAGAAAAAAGGAAAGAGGAGACCAGGGCCCCAACCCCCACCCCACACTCTCCATTAGGGCTGATGGAGCGAGGGTTATATTGGCTGGAGGACCAGAGGGGAAATAAAGACTGCCTGTGCTCTTGGGTATGTCCAAGATTCCACGTGGATCTATCACAGGGGACAACCCAGGCCTGGCACAGAAGCCCCACGTGTCCCATCTACCTGAGACCTCTCTCTGCCAGTACAAGTATTAGCAGTCGTTCTGCTTTGCCGTCTTCCATCCGGTTCCCACCAGCTCTTCTGTGAGTGGAAAATCAACATTCTGACCCTTCTCTCTCCCCAACTGGAGAGTGTAGAGGAATATGTCTCTGGGAAAAGTTCCCCACTGGGGGGATGGAGGGTTCAGCTCTAGTTCCCTCTCCACTCTGATACCCTCAGATACTGGAAGCGATGTGCTTCAGCACTCTGAAGTGAATCAGACCCCAATCGGGCTTGGATTCCTACACCCCCAAGCGACTCTGGCTGCCAGCACCATGGACAGCAGCCAGCCCTTTTCCACCACCCCACCCCACCGCCCGCCCACCGCCCCCGGGGCGAGATTAAGGTTGACTATGCACAAGAAAGCTATGTGGGCATTCAGAAAAGCACCATTGTCTCCAGAACATCCCAAGGGAACACGCAGAGCAGGACGTCCCTCAGAGAAGGACCAATAATAAAAAAAGGCCTCTGGGTCTGATTTTAGCAATGTATGAAGGAATTATTTTAATTGCTGATGAATGGTTCACTTAAAAGACACCATCATTCATATAATACACAGCCCCCACGCTTCACAAGAAAGGGACCAGGCTTCAGATTGACCCACTTTTTACCCTCCAGTGCTAGGGATCGCGCCCAAGGCCTTGTGCACGCCAGGCAAGCACTCCATCACTCAGTACTCCTCCGGCCCACTGAGCCACTTCTCAACCAGTCCTCCCTACCTTTTCTCTGTACACAGCCCTCCAACCACAGTACCTTTATCAACACTACTAGCTGGGAACACCAGGACCAGCCCTGGGAGCCTGGACTGCCGTGGAAATGGCTTAAACTGGTGTCAGACACGCATAACATTGGGAGGCGTCCCTCCCACTCACTTCAGATGGGTCCAAGTGCACTTGCTACCACTTTCCGGGTGAGCACAGTCCCTGGGAAGGACTGCTAGCGCTCAGATGGTCTCTAGAACAAGACAGTGGGCTCTCCCCTTCCCCTAGACCCCAACATTCAGAGGAGTTCTCGTTCTTACACATAACCACAGTCCTTAACACGTGTGACGTCTATCTTCCGTTTCCGTATCACTATGCCACTCAGCACAGAACTCCAACGCTCTGCGCAACTCCCGAGGAGAAACACGTTTCGGCATTTGTTACCCAGCTACTATTTGAAGGAGACCATCTTTTCCATGCCATTATTGATTTTCTTTGCAATGGGATCCAACCTGTCTTTTACTTATCCTCATTCCAACTCTATGAGGTAGACAGGAAAACCATAGCTGAGAGATGTTTCGCTAAATCCCGTAACCGGCAGGTGGCAGGTCCAGCCCTCCTTAGCTACCTTTGCGCGCTGCCATCTAGCAGCCAATGGGAACTATTCACCAGCAGGTGGGAGCCACGCCTCCAAGTCGGAACCCACTGCTGCATCTGGGACTTGCGACCTGTGCAGAGAAACCTCCCCATGGCTCCTAACCCTCCAGAGAAGCCCCGGATGAGAAAGGAGTCTCCACGTGCATATAAATGATTCTTTATGCCCTTCCCCCATGCAATGGGGGGTGGGGCAGGGGGAAGTCCCCTGCCCTCATGCAGGGAATGGGAGGTCCATGTATACTAGTCTTATTGCCAGGTGCCCTGTGGCCATGGGGTGGGGAATGGGGGTCTGCAGCCCCTTTCTTCTGGCATTGGTCCCCCTTCACCAAGTCACCGCGGTGGAGCCAGGGGGCTGGAAGGCCCTAGGAGCTGAGGTAAAGACGGTTCTTTCCAGGGAAGAAAAGCGGCTCTCCCCCTCCTGCTCACTGGCCATCTCAGGATGAGTATGAGGAGCTGTCAGTGGGGGCTGGAATGTCATCCAGGTGTCTCTACCCAGTGGGCAGCAGAGGCCAGAAAATGTCTCCAGCGAAGGCGCCCAAGGAGATCCTCAGTGGTGACAGCAGTGCCCCACCTTGTCCAGCTGGCACCTCCAGCGGCCAGGAGAGCTCATCCCTGGCGGATCCACTGACTTAAGACCCCCGCTCCTGGAGTCCAGGTCAGACCGTGGTGACCCGCATGACCACCTCTCGGCCAGAATGGGAGCTGGAACGGGCATCTGGTGGCCGCAGCTGTCCAAAGAGGTGCAGGATTGTGTAACCACAGCGCTGAGGCAAGAGCGTCCGCATGCGCTGGGCAGCTGGGGGACGGCTGGTGGCCCCCGCAGGAGGGCCCGTCCGTGAGGTCCTGGGGCCTGGCTTCCCCGCAGTCCCTCCCCCCGCATCTCCTCCTATGTCCTTGGTCTTATCGTAATTCAGGACTTTCCACTGCTGGTTCACTGCCTGCCAGCGCTTGAAGATTCGGTAGACAGAAGAGCCTTCATGGACGATGAGGCCTGAGCAAGAGGAAAAAGAAAGTAGGGTCAAGTGCTGCCAAGACCTAGGCCACAGGGCCTAAGTATGCATCTTAAGGGTGAGAGGGGCCAGGCATACAGCTCAGCGGCACAAGCGCCTGCCTGGCAAACACAGGGCCCTGAGTTCGATTCCTGGTGCCAAAAAAAAAAAAGAGAGAAAACACACCTGCAAAGGACGCTGAGAAGCAGGGAAGGAAGCAGCCCCAGAATAGCCTGAAATACATGTCTGTATTTGTTTAACTGAGTAACCAATTTGACAGTAACAATACATGGGGCTGGGGATTTAGCTCAGTGGCACACTGCCTGCCTGGCAAGCGCAACGTCATGAGTTCAATTCCCGGTACCGGGGGAAAAAAAAAAAAAAACAATATGTAATACAACAACCATTGTTAATTTCCTATCACCTTGTCTGAAATTCTGTATTGCTTCTATTTTTGAGTGTTGTTTTGTTTATGTCTGTCTTATGCTTTCATTCTTTATCTTTAAAATTAAATCAGGGGGCTGGGGATTTAGCTCAGCGGCAAAAGCGCCTGCCTGGCAAGCGCAAGGTCGTGAGTTCAGTTCCTGGTACTGGAGAAAAACCAAAAAATAAATAAATAAATAAATAAAATTAAATCAGAATAGCCTTGAAGGCCCCAAAAGCAGAAAACACAGCCATGACACTGAGGAACAGGCTGGGAGGTGTGAAGTGGGCAGGAGGAAGACGGTGAGCAGGTGGGGGACTGAGGGCGCTCACCTATGCACACAACGTCCATGAAGCCGTACATGCCGTAGCAGATTTGAAAGAGCAGATCCTGCCGCTGCCACTTGGCTGAAGGGCTGAGTGAGGACCAGATGAGCCAGGAGATGCTGGCCACGAGGAAGAGGGAGCCCAGCACGATGGCCGCGATCTGCACCTTCTCGATGACCGTCAGGGAGATGGCCTGCCACTGCGGGCGAGAAAGGGCTTGAGTCACAGAAAGGGACGGCGGGCGGGGGACGGGCAGCTCGGAGGACAGGGCTTCAGGACTCTTCCCGATGCCCTTTTGGCCGGATTCACACGCTTCCTCTGTGCTCTGCTCAAACCTAAAACAAAGCATTTGTCTAACACTATTTTATTTTCTGATGGATGATGGTACTGGGGGCTTAAACCCAGCTTTTTTATTTTTAAATTACCCAAGCTAGGCTCAAACTTGCCATCCTCATGCTCTGTCTCCCAGAATGCTGGGATCATAAGCATGCGCCACCATGCCCAGCTGTCTTATTTAGAAAAGCAGGCTCTGAAGCCAAAACATCTAGGTCTGAATCCCAAACTTAACTTCATCACTAACTGGCTGAGTAACTTTGGGTATTTTAAAGTCCCTTAGTGCATCAATGTCCTCATCTGCAAAACGGGGATAACAATGATACCTAACCATTATGATTATTATGAAGACTAAAAGTTACTCCAAGGCGGGCATGGTGGCATATGCCTAGCTGGAAATCCTAGCACTTGGGAGGCTGAGGCAGAAGGATCGCCTTGAGTTCAAGGTCAGCCTGCACTACATAGCAAGACTGTCTCAAAAAAAAAAACAGAAATTGCAAAAACAAAAAAAAACCCAACAACAACGAAAGTTACTCCAAATTTAACATAGAGAAAATTCTACATGTTGGCTATCATCAACTTTATCATCTTTTCGTTTTCTTTTGTCCCAGCGTCCAGAACAGGACCTAAAACACAAGTGGCACCCAGTAAGTGCTTTTGTGAATAAAAGAAGGATTTACACAAGAGACTGCCTTAATGGGGTGTGTGAGGGGTTGGCTTTGGGAAAATACTAAACAGATAAAACAGGCTCCCTAGACTGTCTCTGATTCGGAGGGCTGCCTCCTCTCTCACACCTCACCTGCAGCGGGTTCTTGGTGCTGATGGCCAGGACCTGGTATTTGAAGTAGCAGAGTTCACAGCTCCAGGAGCCCCTCTCGCTGATCCAGCGGATGAGGCAGGGCTGGTGTGTGCAGCGCACCGAGCCGTCACAGCGGCAGGGACTCAGGAGCTCCCCCTGGAGGAAGAGTGGGGAGGGGTCCCGTCAACGATCACCACCCGGACCCGACTCGGCCGCGCTCCTAGAGAGGGAAACCTCCTCTTCAGGTCAGTCATTCTCTCGCCTTAGAATACTCAGGCCTTTCACCCCAAACAGGACAAGAGGCTAAGACTGCAGCAGTAAAGGTGGTGAGAGCTCAAGGAAAGCCTCCCATACCAAGGCCCTGAGGAATGGGAGTCGGAGGGAAGACAGGGTCTTCTCTTTTTCCTAAAATTTGGAGCGGTCGTTAAGACTGCCCCTAAGAAGGCTTCCCCCTGGAACGCGGAGGGAAGGGAGGACCAGAGCCTTAAGCCACGGTTCCCTCCCACACCCCATCACTAAAGCACTGCACAGCGTTTCAGACTTGGGGGAGCGGGACGGACGATGGATCTCGGTTTCCACGCATGAAAAAGGGGAGAAATCCTCCAGGCGGGAGCGGAGCACGTTCGCCTTCACCAAGGAGTCACTACTCACTACGCAGAGACAGCCTCTGGCACTATCCCGGGACAACTCTGCCCGTAAAATTTAACAAAGGAGCCTCCCTGGAACAAAGTGGAAACTTGCAGACGGCGGCGAGCGCCAAGTGCACGGCCGGGCGGCAGTGAGGCAGGGAGCCGGCCGGGCCCTGCCCTCGAGGAGGAGCAGACCCTCTGGTCTTGCTGCTCACCTCGGAGAGAACAGGTCCCTCAGCCAATGGCAACCCGGCGGTCAGCCGAGCGGGTGACAAGAGCCGTCCCCGGCTTACCAGGCACGAGGGATGCTGAGCCCTGCCAGGTCGGAGCCCCACCCATTCCTGGGGACCCCTGACCCCCAACCCAAACACGCACTCCAGGAGTCGCCCCAGCCGCCCCGCTCACCGCGTCCCCGCTCGGGTCGGGCCGGCCCAGCCCCGCAGCCCCGCCCCCGGCTC